TCGGTTGACGATGAATCTGCATCGAGTCGTGGCGCAAAGATGGAATAAGTTCCTCGATCATCCGTCCACCTCGGAGCATGCTGCTTCGTGGCGCCATGCGATACATTGCGCGATGCATCGGCTGAACCGCAAACTCACCCGGGCGAATCGACGCAGCTGACGGGAACCTTGCCCATCTTCTTCGCGACGGCTGTCAAGCTCTCAAAAGCGTCTTTCGAAGTCTGGTCTGTCTTGACGATCTCGATGAGCTTCATTTGTGGGACAGGGTTGAATGCGTGGAAACCTTGGGGAAAGGCGCGAAGCGGGACACGCACACCGGCAGGAGCAGAGAGTCAGTCGAGTTGCCGAGAACACTTGCAGTGATAAGACGACGGCACTGGCATCAAGCATTGACTGCGACCAAAGTCTCTGCGCTTCCACTTACCGCCAAACAACGCTTTCCTCTCCTCGGAAATGGTGGCCGCGACGTCCTTGATGCTCAAGCTAGAAGTGTTGCTGGCAAAGATGGCATCCTTGGGAGCTTTGCCATCCAAGAACTTGAACAATTCCTGCTTGATTCCCACATTCTCGATGATGGCTTCGATGACCAGATCCGTCTCCTTGACTGCGCCAGCCCCGTCCGTAGAGACCTTGATGCTATCCACCACCTTTTTCACAGCTTCAGCTTGCTCCTCTGCCGATTTGTCAGCCATGGACTTTTTGAAGATGCGGGTGAGAGACTTGGAGATGATGCTTTGACCGCCGGCTGTGGCTTTCTCCGAAACGTCGGCCAGCGTGACGTTGTAGCCTCCCTTGTGAGCCAAAACTTGGGCAATACCTGCTCCCATGAGACCAGCTCCGAAACTGCGCGGATCGAGAGCAGAACGAGGATGCGCTACTGTCACTAGACCCATTCCGCTCGCCCAAGATCGACAAGGAAGCTGCGCACTCACACGGTCACATTCTGCACTTCTTTTGAAGCTGCGAGGGAGGTGGAGAAGTTTCTCGCAGAGAAGCCAGCAGGCGCTCTAGTAGCAGCAGAACGCAGCACCGAGGTGCGCAGTGGAGTAGCGACAGATGAAATCATGACTGACGAGAGGGTTGGAATGAAGTGGAAGAAAGTGTTGGCTGTGTTTGGTGTGCAGGATCAGTGAGCAGGAACAGCGTTGGGAAAATGAACGCTTTTGGCCCTTTCTTCGCAGCAGCAGCTGATCTGACATGGACAGCCCGCTCGAGTCTGAGTTGGAGTTTGGATGGCAGCTGCTGATGAAACGTGATGGATGCTGCTTGCTGTACGGCTCGATTTCAGCGCTGAGCACCGGTCGGCACGCTCGAGTTCCGTCTTGCGAAGTCCGCCTCCACCCGAGCTGCTGCTGC